GCCAGAGATGGGAGAGACTTTTCACTGTACTGTAAAAAAATTATAATGATAAGTTAAAATTATAATTTCGAAAAGGGGGCACAGGTCATGTTGATGGGTTAATAAGATTTGTGTGATGGGAAAAAATTCATCTGCGTTTCTTTGTAAAGTGCAGACGGTCTCCGGGATGGTGAAATGAGCAGATGGGGAAGAAAGGAAGGGACGCTGGCATTTTTTACATACATCCTTTTGTGCCTTTTGACTTTTCTACTCTGTGTATTAATTATAAAAGTAATTAAGAAACATCGTTAACTTCAAAATGTTTAAAGTTAAACATGGCAAGAATTAGGAACCATGTGAAAGGCTCCTATTTATTGAGCATCTACTGTGTGTCTGGGGCTGTGCTGACATCTCGCCCATAACTCGATTAATGCTGTCAAGTTCTTTGCCAAAAAAAATACATTATCCCCATTTCATAGGCGGAAACTCATGTGGCAGAAGGTAGAAAACTCGCCTGAGGCTGCACACTGAGCCCAGCACTCACTCTTGCCAGAAAGGGACTCGATGAACTGAACTGTGGTTCTTATTCATCCCCTGCCCTCCTTAGCCCGGAGAGCCCCAGGGATGGCCAGCCCTGCGGATGTGAGGCAAGCTGCTCTGGGAGAGCAGGGAGGACTCCCCAGGGGTGCATCTGGAGACCTCAAGGAGCCACACGGGCCCCCAGGCCTGAGGTAAGGAAGGCTGACAGGTCCAGGTTTGGGGCAGCCCTGAGCATCTGGGGCTGGGTCTCAGGGTGTCTCTGGAACGCCTGCAGTAGTGTCTGCCCCTGGCCGGTAAGGGGACGGGTGCCACTCTGGAGACCCCTAGATGTTGGCTTCAAACCCGGAAGCTGCTCCTGGGCCCCAGCCTTCGCCCACCTCAGAGCTCCCTTTGGTTCCGAGTCAGACTCTGGTCCTATTTGTCCCCCACCTACGGAAGCTGTAGGATGACATCCGACCTCACGTTTTCTCATGGCCCTCACCTGGCAGCCTGGACTCTGGTTGGGGTCAAATCCCAGGCTGTTCAGGAAGGAAGGGCGTTGTGGGCACATGGCCTGCTCCTCACTTGCCCTCCTGCCTCAGCCCCCATCATCCATCTCTCCAGGACCATTTGCACGTGGGGTTTGCCACCCACACCTCAGGGTGACCAGCCCACTGCCCTCCATGGTCCCCTCAGGGCTGGGCCCAGGGTCTGGTCCAAACCGGCCGTCAGCCGGGGGTACCGATCCCCCATTCCTTTGCCCCCCTCTTCTCCCTCAGAATATAAGATCTGGCTTGGGGCCAGTTTACCACCTCTAGCTGACCTGACCCCGCAGAGCTGGGTCAGACACCGGTGGGGGTGGAAGTGCGGGGAGCCAGCTCCTTCGTCTGCATGACAAAGCCTGGGGGCTGCCCGCCCCGCCCGCTCCCCCGTCCCCATCCCCCCCCACTACTAATCAGCCCATTGTAAAGGCTTCCCAATCCACATTTGCTTTTTCCTTTCGGCCTCTGGGCAGGGTTGTCAGATTTAGCAAATAAAAATATAGGTCTCCCAGTGAAATTTGAATTTCAGATAAACAATGACTACTTTGTTCGAATGAGGACGTGTCAAATGGTGTCCTGTATTTTATCTGTCAGTTCTCCACCTGGGTGAATTCATGCCCAATTGTTTCATTTCTCTGGGAAAACTCTTCAGTCAGTCACAAGTCTACATTTAGGCTGGGGAAGCCTCAGGAAACTGGGGGACGTGCCCCCCGCCCCCACCTAGACCTGGACGCCTGGACTGAACACACCTGGCTAAGCTCCAGGGGGTCAGGCAGGACTCGGGCTGGAAGCAGCTTGAGGATGTGGCAGAATCTTTGGGGCGGGAATGCACTCGTCCTTCTGCAGACCTCATGCAGTCATCCATCATTAATTGTGGGACCTTGGATGCTCTCACCTCTCTCGAGCCTCAGTTTTCTTGGCTCAAAAATTGGAGGACGGGGTGGACTGGATGGTCCTTTCAACTCTAATCTCTAAATCCACGAACAGCCTGGAAAAGGGAGAGAGGATGGGGTTCCTCATTAGACAAAACTTCATTGGTGCTAAGTGTTCCCAGGCCCCCTTGCCTGGGGGGGTCCCCCAGGACAGTGAGAAACACCGGGTTTCTGAATTGCGCACAGCCCAGGATCTCGGCAGCCTCGGGACCAGATGCTCATCCCTGCAGGCAGGTTGGTTGGTCGTCAGGCAGCCCTGGTGCAGTTCAAATGCAGCAAGGAATAGGACTCAAGGTCCACACACTAGGGACTCCAGTCCACTCTGTCCCTGTGGTGGGGAGGGGGACAGGGAATCTAGTGGATAATGAGGTCCCTACTTCTCCTCCAGGAAAGAAACTTAAATTTAACTGGTTAGGAACCCAAGCGAAGGCAGAGGCTCAAGACTGCTGTACAGATGGCTTTTGTGCCCTCTCTAGACAGCCCCCTGCTCGGGCTCATGGACCTGTCTGGCTGCTGAGCTCCCAGGAGGGCGAGGGGTGTGACCTCCCTCCCTCCCACCACCCAGGCCCAGCCCAGGGCTGGCTATAAAGCCTGCCCAGCCTGGCTCCTAGCACACCCAGGGGGACCCTCCTAGAGCCTCCCAGGGACACATCCACCCTGCTCCTCCTCCTGAGAAGCATCATGAGGTCCCTGTGGCTCTGCTGGGCGCTCTGGGCCCTGCCCCTGACCGGCCCCGGGGCAGCCATGACCGAGGAGCAGATCCTGGGCAGCCTGCTGCAGCAGCTGCACCTTAGCGAGGTGCCCATCCTGGACCAGGGCGACGTGGAGAGTCTGGTCATCCCTGCCCACGTGAGGGCCCAGTACGTGGCCCTGCTGCAGCGCAGCCACGGGACCCGATCCCGAGGGAAGAGGTTCAGCCAGAACTTCCGAGGTGAGGCCCTCCCTCCCTGCTGCACCCTGGTCCTTGGGGGGAGGCGGGGCTAAGGCTGGGTCCGCCTGTCTGGGGGCTCAGAGTCCACGCGGCGGTGAGGAGGGACCATGGACTGTGAGGATGGCTGGGCCTGCCCCGTGGCCTGTCCACACTGAGCGCCCCACCCCTCAGGCCAGGGGGAGCTGTGCCAGGCTAGACCTGCTGCCAAAGCCAAGGCCAGAACAGATATCTGTGGGGTAGGGGAGCAACGTGGAAGGAGGTAAGAATGAAGAAAAAATAGACTGGCAGGGAGCATCACGCTGGCGAGCAAGGAGGCTGGACTCAGTGGCCTCCCCTTGGAGGGACTTCTGGGTTCAGGTCTCAGCTGTGACCTTTGTTCGTTTTACTTCAGTCAAGTCACCAAACATCTCAACCTGTTTGCTTCTCTGGAAAGGAGGTTAAATGAGCTGCGACTATGTCCCAGAGTTGAGGGTATTACGTGAGATGTAAAGTGGGGCTTCATAATTTTCGAGTTTATTGTTTAAGAAACGGCCTGTGAGAGACAGGCCGGGTCCGAATCCTTCTGCAGCCTCTCACTTCCCCGGGGTGGGCTCACCTCAGTGGCCAGAGCTGGGCCCACACCCGCCCTGCTCCTCGGCCAGGCTGGGTGCCTGGGGAGAGGAGGTCGGTCACGAACACCTCAGTCTGCACTGCCAAGCTGGAGCCCCACATGTTACAGACCAGATGCTTCTGAGTAGGGTGCTGTTCATGGCCCTGCCACTTACCTCGGGGCTCAGGAGCCCTGCAAAAGTTCTTTACAGGCCCTGGCTACTCTTCCTCATTTTGGGGACATTCCACTGGGCATGAGACCCCCTCACCAGAGAAGAAAACGGAAGTAAACTCAGGCTCACACTCTGTCCCTTAGGAAAAGCCAGATTCGGCTGGTGACCATAGCTTTCTGTTGCCTGGGTTCTCCGCCTCCCCCTTTCCATGCCCCCTCCCATTTGAGTCCTGCCCCCTTTGCCTAAAGAAGGTCACTGGCCTGTACATCCCACTCAGGGCCCCAAAGCTGTCCCCACTTCTGCCACCGAGGGTGGGAGAGTTGCTGGTTGACAAGCTCTAAGGAAAATGCCTGTTTTAGGGTACTGGGCTGCCCGAAAGCTTTTTCGAGGTGAGGGGGGCACTCCCTTTCTGCCCTGGCCCACAGTTTCCCAGCCCCCAAGTTCTCCCTGTGGATTCCTGGGGAAACCCAGTTCCCTGGCTCTGAGCCCTGCCACCCCCCAGAGCTCTCCCAGGGCCTGGAGAGGTCCCGCTGACCCTGCTCCTGTCCCCAGAGGTGGCGGGCAGGTTCCTGGTGTCCGAGGCCTCCACGCACCTGCTGGTGTTCGGCATGGAGCAGCGGCTGCCCCCCAACAGCGAGCTGGTGCAGGCCGTGCTGCGCCTCTTCCAGGAGCCGGTCCCCGAGGCCGCGCTCCGCAGGCACGAGCTGCTCTCCCCGCGCAGCGACCGGG